TTGTTAGCTATTACTAACGTTTTTGTCCACTTGAAAAGTGTAAATTTGGGAATCTAAAGTCTTGATATTGAGCTGAACAGTTGAATCAGACAATTCAACTGAAACATTACTGGCACTGGGACCATCGTTAGAGCTCTGGCCTGCCATTCTATAAGGTCAGATGCAGACTATTGAACCAGGGAATTCCAAAGAACAAGTGCCGCCAAAACAATTTCACAGTAGCTGCACCAAAATCCAGATGCAAAACCATGTTAATTAGAAGATGCTTTGTTCAGTTAAACAGATAACCCAAGGCAAAACTTCCTAACCATGTAGATGAAGCAATATAGTAGTATCATGTTCAACTGTGAATATAAACAATGTCCACGCAAAAAAGGCCCAAAAAAAATAATAATAACACCATACTTGTGTGAGCAGTGATTTAACAACAGTAAGATTCTTTCCCTCAACCGTAAAATATCAGCTGAAATAGAAAAGCAAAGTGCTTAGTTCCCAGTCAAATACGGCTAGGCTTTCTACTCTACTTTGCAAAACATGAATTTAATTGTGCAGAGAAAGAATGCACATATAGGATCAAAGAAAGTTTTATTACATTATCTCCTAACAATGAAATAGATTGCAAAGCTACACGCCCCGCCCCAGAAAAAAAAAAATATTGGGGACTTCCAAATTTCCAATTTAGTCCCATAAATCTCCATCACTCCATCAAACGTAAAATTATGATAACAGCTATTTCTTTTGGAGGCATCAGTAGAATGCACTCATCCGGGGGGAGAAAAAAATTGGGAATGGAGATTTTGATGCCATGTCCCCACCATAAGCACATATAAAGAGCCCCGTTAAGTAAAACAGCAGCCTTGATAACCATGTCATTAAATGGATATTGTCATTGGCGTCTATTCGAAACATGAATCAGCAGATGCTTTCAGGCAACATATCTACGCTAGTTTCTATCAATACAATCGAAAACATGGAAGATGAGATTTCTTAAACCCTTTAAAATGTATGAATGCTTCAAAACTGGTCAGATTTCGACAGCCTAGTTAATAAACGCATTAAAGAAAAAAAAATACAAACATCAGAAAGAAACTGAAATATTCGACAGCAGGGTAATAGCAACAGCATCATAAATTATGGAACATGGAGAAGAATTATAATAATACAAAAATGATCGAAGAAGGCAGTCATATTGGCATGGAAGACTACCTAACAAAGCAGGGAGAGGGGTAGAAGGGAGCAACAGGACGGAGGGAGAGAAACAACAAGAAAGGTTTAAGCTGCTGAGATCTAAGTGTCGCAGCGTTTCGAAGCTTCTGGAGTTTTCGGTAAAATGTAACAGGTTGGTTTAATTGGAAAATAGCGCTCACCGGAGATGCAGGCGATGATCTTTGCAGACTCCAATTCACAAAGCAGGGAGGAAAGAATACGTGAAGTTGGGGCAAAACATCTACAAGCTGTCAGCACTAGAGCGCTAATATGGGCCAACCGCCGATTATGGGTGCCCGTGGCGGCCTGAAACTTGGCGGGCTGTGTTTTTTAAGACCGTTTTCTGACGGGTTGGAATTTTTCAACCCCCTACGAGGGTGGGTTGGCGGGTTAGGCCCCCAACCCGCCAAATTTTGTTTTTTTATTTTACTTTTTTTTAATAAAACCTACTCAAAGTTTCAAATTTCTAAATACCTAAAATAAAACATGTAAATAGAAATTATCATAAATAAAACATGGAACCCATCCAAAGTTCCAAGTTCAAGTTTCAAATATATCAAAATTTAAACATATGATTAAATGAACATGATATGTCCTTAATAATTTAACAAACATCTCAAATTAAAACATAAATCCAAATTAACACTACCACAAAGTTACAAACACAATGTCACTACACAAATCACTATCAAGTGCTCAATTATCACTCATGAGCTAGGGCAAAGGCGTAAAGCAAAGACAGAGAGCAGAGAGCTTGGGGCTTGGGACTTGGGAGTTAGGACTGGCCGAGGGCGACTGGGAGACTGGGTCTAGGAGAGTTAGGAGTCTGGGAGGAGTGTGACACACAAGCAAAATGTGAAAATGAGACCGTGTTGGTGTTGCCATGTTAAATTATTAGACATGGACTGCTCACTATTGCACTGTGGACTAGGCCAAGAGTGTAGAGACTGAGAGGCAAAGGGAAAAATTTGCCAAAAAAAAAAAAAGGTTAAATGGGTTGGCCCGCCAACCCTGCGGTTAGCCCGTCGCGGGTTTGGGCTTAGCGGTTATGGACTCAAAACTTCCATTTTAAAACGGTCCTAATTTTATCAACCAAACCCGCCACTTGTTGGCGGGTTGGTGGTTGAGCCCGCGGGCTCAACCCATATTACGACTCTAGTCAGCACCCTGTGCATCAATTTGCGCTGTCCACGAGCCACCAGACACCGGACACCGGTCTGGCCCAACATTCGCGGCCCAGTTGGCTCTGCTCGCATGAAATGCAGGGTGAAAATGAGTTGGGCTCATTTGGGATTTGATTTTTGATCATTTGATTTTTACGTGTACTAGATGTACGGAGAAAACGCGGGATCCTGGTCCCGGGTGTGCCGAAGAGTACATATGCGCTGGAGTTCTCCGCTTTTCCCCCTTCTCCTTTCTTGGCCAACGGTATTGAAGTGCTCCCCTGACGCAGCGTGGTCCCGTCCCCATAAATCATTTCAAAAATGGATGTTTGGATTTTTTTTAAATAATTAATTAAATTCCATTAAAATATCAAAATCAAATTTCAAGCCTAAATTTTTGAAAAATTCCTAATAAAGTCAAGAGAACTAATTAAAAAGCTCATGATATTGATAAATAACTACACTGCCTCACTTTTTTTAAAGCAACTTCCTTTTTCCTTCCAAATTAACCTTTGCCGGCGGCCGATCCATTTATGCCTAATGGTAATCTCAGAGGACCAATCGACAGTTGGGTGGCGGTTAGTCGCTGACAGAGATGACTTTAAAAGGAAAAAAAAAAAAACAGGTGATTTTGAAAAATTAAGGAGCAGTGTGGTCATTTAGTAAAACTTTGAAACCCCCAATTAGTCCTCTTAGATGAAAGACGAATTTGTTAAAAAAATATATAGCAGAATATAAATTTAAGCATTCCAGCTGATTTTAATTAGAACTTTCTCAATGTTATACTCGTTAATATTTTCAATGAAAGTACGATATGAAAAAAGAAAAAACTAACAAGTAATAGCCAAGTCAGATTATGCCACGCAAAATAAGATATAGCTGGCCCGACGTCTGAGCTCGACCCGATTTCTGAGCTCGACCCGGCTCTATTTTTGTTGAGCAGCTCATAGCCACACATATTGCAGTGAAGCAGGGGGACAGATGACAGGACTGCACGGCTAAACGGCGATTGTCATTTGTATGTGACAGTACTTTTTTAATGCTACTTGATATTATCAAAAAACGGATTTTAGTCTTGTGAGTCCCTTAAATGAAATATACAAATTAATTGATTAATTTAAATAGATTAAAAAAAGTTAAGTTAATTATTTATAATAAATATATATATTTTTTTTTAAAATATTCTTACTAATCAAATCTCTTGACTAGAACTACTTTTATTAGAGAGATTATTTTGAAAATATATATAAATATAAGAGACAGGATAGATTGAAGTCTTATATTTATGATTCAAATAAAAGTCAAATGAGGTCTTATATTAAAAATAGGAGATAGTTGATTTTTTGAAGAAGCTTTGTTTTCTTAACATTCATATATATTCAATTTGTTTTTTTGGGTAAAATGATCAATTAGATCGCAAACAAGAACGTTTACAGTACAGGAGAAGAGTTGCATGAATAAATATATTCTCAGACATGAAATCTCATGTGTAGACCGTTATAATTTGTTTTACCAGACCAACACACGTATCTATATATAAATATTATCTCCGATTCTAAATATAAGAGTTAGTTGACTAATTTAAAAAAAATAAAAAAATAAATTAAGTGAGTTCTTTGTAATAAATATATATTATCTTTTTTAAAATATCCTTACTGATCAAATTTATTAGTTAGAACCACCATTACTAGAAGAACTATATTAAGAAAAGTTAAATAAATACGAGAGACAAAATTCACTAGGGTTTTATATTTATGATCAAAATAAAAGTCAAACAAAATTTGTATAATAAGAATTGGAGATCATATTTTAAACTTGATTAGCAAGGATATTTTAAAAAAGACAACATATATTTATTATAAATAACCCGTCTAACTTTTTTTTAATCTACTCAGATTAGTTAACTAACTCTTATATTTAAGATAGGAGGTAATATTAAGAACCGGGGATCGTATAATAATTCTGAGAAGAATAGTGAATTCATGAATGGCGCCATGTGAACTTATGAAACCCGTATAAGCTTATAAGGTCCGAAAAAGAAAAAAGAAAGCACGTGCTGAAATACAACCGTGATCGCGGAAGCAAGAGGAACGGTGATTCTGGCTGATGTCGCCGCATGCACATGTATAGCCCTTCTCCTAACATTTTCAAAAATCGAAATCGCTCTATTGCAGGGGTGCTTGCAAGATCGTCACTGTGAGTTTCAGACACATTAATCAGCATAAAACGCCATAAACATTGTATTTACTGCGGCCATCCGTGGGTCATCAAAAGGGTGACCTGATGTTGAGTGTAATCTGCTCCATCTCTTCTCTCTGTACAAACTCTTTGGCAACGACATCCAAGTTGCATGCTGCAGTAATTTTTTTCAAAAAAATACCCATAATTACTTTATATTTGTTTTTTCACATAGTCATTATTAATTAATTAATTAACTAGGCAGAGAGGAATAAGAGGGGGAGGTCCCAATAATTTTTGAGGTTATTCCTAAATTGCTGCCAAATAGCCAATGAGCTGTCTAGGATTTGATGATGGAGCGTTGAGATCACATCTCATGTGGGCCGGGTTTGGCATCGATAAATAATTTGAGTCGTGTCTATAAGTTGATGGCTGGGTCCCCCTTAGTGACGTCAACTCAGCGGCCAGGAGACGGGGACGTTAAATACGGCCATATCGCTAAGTTAACCAGCGCCTTGGGACGGTCAACCCCCAGAGTTTCTCATCTTCTCGAGTCGCCATGGAAGCAGCTTCATGCATCAGCAGCGAAGGGCAGCCCATCCAATGCAAAGGTATGACTGATTATTTAGGATCTTTCGATGTCGTGATGAAACGTTCACTTGTTACCCTTGAAACTGTAGCCGCCGTGTGCCGGAAAGCCGGCGAGCCACTGGTGATCGAGGATGTCATGGTAGCGCCGCCCATGTCTCGTGAAGCTCGGATTCGCATCATATGCACCTCTCTGTGTCACAGTGACATCACATTCTGGAGGATGAAGGTTCCCTGATCTAGTCAAATTAGTGAATACTTTGCTATTTCAACCATGATCCTCGTTTGTTTATTGCTTCTTCTTTTTGGGATTTGTGTTGAAGGATGCTCCCGGAATTTGCCCAAGAATTCTGGGCCACGAGGCCGTGGGGTAAGCTTTAGATTTTTTGGTTTGACTTAGATTTATGGCATTCTCAGAGAAGTAGAGAAATTGATGAGAATGGAATGGACAGGATTGTGGAGAGCGTAGGAGAAGATGTGAGGGAAGTAGAGAAAGGAGACGTGGTGGTGCCGGTGTTCCTGCCGGAGTGCGGCGAGTGTGAGGACTGCAAGTCAAAGAAGAGCAACCTGTGCTCGACGGTGGGGTTCAGGGTGTCGCCGTGGATGCCCAGGCAGGAGAGCAGCAGATTCACAGACATGAAAGGGCAGCCCATATATCACTTCCTCTTTGTCTCCAGCTTCAGCCAATACACCGTCGTCGACGTTGCCAATCTCACCAAGATTCATCCATCTCTCCCTCCCAACAGGGCTTGCCTCCTCAGCTGCGGTGTTTCTACGGGTGGCCATTTATATTTATATTATCTTCTCGCACACGCCGCCTATCTATATAGAACAGCTACAATTAATCTAACACGCCTGTCGCATACTAAGTGGATTATATTTGAACAAGAACTACCAATCTTGACCATGCATGCTATGCTAAATTATATTTTATTCGAAGCAATGGAAAAATAACAAGTAACATCTGAGGGTTGAATGTCAAAATCACTGGTTTATTTTAATCACACGTCAGATGAATTTAGAGCTCGAATGAGTTAATTAAATTAGTCATGAGACTAATTGTCGGTTCAGCCCTCATACATATCCAGACTGATGACGGTTGAAAACTCTCATCTTCCAGGATTACGTACAGTTCAAAAACTTACTGGTGAGGCCAAGAGAGCACCGATCCTTATCCAAACAATCCTCTGAAACATACGCGTAACTACTCAGTGTTATTTATCTCAAAAAAGCAAATAGTCCAGATGTCACGTAGAGCCGTGTTATTAGCGCAACCTTATTATGGAATTGGATTATCGACTATGACTTTCACTTTTCAGGAGTAGGTGCTGCTTGGTTGACAGCGGGCGTGGAGGCAGGCTCTACGGTTGCTATATTTGGGCTGGGTTCCATTGGATTAGCTGTACGTAACCTAACTTCCTCGCTCCACATGCCCCTTTTCATCGGCCCGCCCCGCCCCCAATTAAGGACCTGCTGCAGTTATGATGTTTTATTCAAATTTGTTTTCTCAGTCATAGCGGGGTTGTAATGTTATTTTCATTAACTCTGATAGCAAAACTAAAAGCATAGATTACTTTTTGGGGCCCGAGGGAAAAGATTTTGAAATTGAAATTACACAGTGTCAGTTTAAAGCATCAGAGGCCAGAACTATTCTTTTTCCATCTTACCTGGGTTCCACTCGTGCTTATATGGAGGCTGCCACTGAAATCGTTCGCTTTTCACTGATGCCCAGGTCGCGGAGGGGGCTAGACTTTGTGGGGCTTCGAGGATCATCGGGGTGGATTTGAACCCACGAAAATTTGAAATTGGTAAATATGTTGTGTGATATGATTTGCTAATACCGACAACGTCATCATTAATATCGTTGTGATCGATGTCGTGTCACGGACAGGCTATACATCTGATTTCACGATTTCACTCTTCTCTTTTGCTCAGGTAAAAAGTTTGGAGTCACTGACTTCGTCAATTCTGCAGAATGTGGGGACAAACCTGTTAGCCAGGTCCAACACTGAAACTGTTTCCCCTTGTGTTATATAACGAGTGTATATATGTTTGAGTAGTGTCACTGCTTTTTAAGTGAATTTGAACGTCTGTTCTTTTCGTTCGTGGTTTACTTTCCAATAGAGAACTTTCGCTGTTAATATCTTTTAACTTTTTTAAAATTTAAAATTCACTTGTCTTGATATAATGACATAAATATATTAAGGACCTGATTTATTTTCTTAGAAATAGCTACAGATAAATTAGTCTTTTAGTCTGCCACAATGGACAAGTGAAAAGATCAAATATACGTATGTTAGCAAAAAGAAAGAAGGAAAAAGAAAAACTGCTTTCGTCATGGAAAGGGTCATGACTTAAAAACGATCTCTGTCAGGATAGCATTGTTAGATGTTATACGCACCAAGAGGGGGGGGGGGAGAGAGTTGATAAGTCTAAACAGTGAAGCAGAAGAATAGATAAGTAAGAGTTGTTTTTTCAAACGTGAAAAATGAGAAGAGTGAAATGAATGTGGTTGTGGCACAGGTGATCAAAGACATGACTGGCGGAGGGGCTGATTATTGCTTCGAGTGCGTGGGGATGGCATCGTTGGTGCAAGAAGCATATGCTTCTTGTCGAAAGGTTTTCCTCTCTGCTTGCTAATTCACTTGAAATACTTTAAATTTCGGTTCTGCTAAGTGCTGTTACCATTAACTAACAAATAATCCATAACCATAGCTGGGGAGAACGGATTAGCATTCTGTAGATCTGAGTTTTCAATTAATAAAATAATGGAAGGTTGGTCGGAGAAGTGATGTTTTTGACTACAGGGATGGGGAAAAACAGTAGTGGTGGGAGTTGACAAACCAGGATCCAAGTTAACCCTTAGTTCTGCTGAAGTCCTTCACAGTGGAAAAGTCCTCATGGGATCCTTATTCGGGGGACTCAAGCCCAAGACTCATATTCCCATTCTCGTTAAGCGTTATCTCGACAAGGTGATCATTTATGCTTGACCTTCTATTCCGTCTTTTTCTTTTATCTATTCTTTATTTCCATCCCCTCTTTATGCATCTATCTGTGTGGGGGTGTGTGTGATAGAAACTTTTACAGAGCAGAGCATAGTGTTAAAATAATGATTCTACCGAAAGTCCCAGAGTTTTTAGAACTATTTCCTGACGATTAATTAAGCTTGGCCACAATAATTGACAGGAGCTGCGGCTGGATGATTTTGTGACCCACGAGATTGACTTCAAGGACATAAACAGAGCTTTTGATTTATTGCTGGAAGGACAGTGCCTTCGATGCGTGATTTGGATGAACAAATAAATGTGACATCGAATCATCCCATGTGAACTAAAGAATTCTTGTCACCAAAAAAACAAAGGAAAGAATTCGGGATATTACTCTTTTATCTTCCTGTTGCATTCAATAAAACACCCGCTCTTGATTGATTGTATTGCACGATATTACTCTTTTGATTGTATTGCACTCGATGCTCCCCTAAAGTATTTGCTTATCTCAAGTTTCTCGGTCTAATATCTTTTAGGATGTAATAGCATCCTTTGTGATCTCCATTCTCATTCTTTAATCACTGAGCCGAGGAAGGAGTCGGAAATAACTTTTATATGCTTATTTTTCTTAAATCTTCCCCCTCTGTCAGTGCTTTAACGCATACACATATATACTAACTCACCGCCTGATCAAGACCTTTCATTTACTACTAGTTTATTTCCAGCTTTTCTTGTTCGGTCAAAACCAAAACCTCATTCATATGAGGACTGAACACTGGGCTAGGGCCCATTATCAGAAAGAGAAGACGGTACATTTTGCAGGGAAAAAAAAATCAGGCAGCCTGCAAAGTGCAAACTTCGTTCAAGACTAAAGTAGCAGTGATTCAGGTCTGATTTGTGTTGACAAGAAAAGGAAGGAAGGCAGGAAGGAAGGAGAGCGGAAAGAGAAGAAAAGCAAACATACGAGAGTTACCTTGGCAGGCGCGTGTCATGCCGTGATCTACGGCGGGCCGGGGCACATTTAGATAATGATCATGCCTGTAAAATAATGAGAACGTTGGAACCGTTAATCTTTCGGGTTGATCAGATTAGACTGCTTTAAAGCTAATAGCTCGTGGTTTCTCTGCATCGTTAATGATTCATAGTTGCTTAATTAATAAGCTTGAGGCGAAGCCAGGGTGCCGGTGACTTTGCGTCATGTAACGGATTATAGATCTCTGGGTGCGTGCTTAATTTTTACGGGTGTGTTAACTTGCTTTCTGACATTAAACCATGCCTTGTACTGGTACTATGCATTAGTGAGCGTGTGTCGTCAAAAGCTGCATCCCAAATTAGTCGTATGCATGCGTGCCTCCTCGGAGCGTCGAGAGCTTCATTGATCGCCCGTGACCCCACCCCGAATAATGTTTAATTGGACTTATCATCATATCTTGTCGACATTCATCGTTTTGTGCCTATCCATTCGGCGGGTCACGTACGATTCTAGAAGTGCAAAGCTACACGACAGTTAACCATAGTTAGCCACAGCCAATCTATCAGCTGCTCAGTTATGCTCAAACATTTTAATGTAGTCATCATCATCAGTTTCGTTTTCCCCTCACTCTTCCTCATTCTTCGGTTGGCCTTTACGTTCACCAATTAACATTTTCTTTAATGGTTGCAGGTCTGTGCTTAATCCATTCCAAAGCATGAGAAGGATCGGCCATTTTTTGGCATTTGGAGCCGGGCTATTTAACTTATTCCCTTTTTTAATTACCACAACTAGAGCGCCACCAAGGGACAATTTCGTTTACCCATCGGTTTCCTGACCTAGCTGGATTGCACTCAAGATTATTAAATACTACATCCTATTCTTAATATAACAATACCTTATTTAATTTTTATTTTGGTTATAAATATAAAATCTCAATCTATTTTATCTCTCACACTTACATATTTTTTTCTTAAAATTGTCCTTTTAATAGATTAGCAAAGATATTTTAAAAAATATAATATATATTTATTATAAATAACTAACTTAATTTATTTTCTTAATCTGTTTAAATTAATGAAGTAATTATCATATGGCAGCAATTTCTCCGCCTGCAATCGCTCCTCCCTCTAAACCAACTAAATAAACATTGACATTCGGATGACAGCCGTTGTACACACAAATAAGTACTTTCATTCCCGTTCAATACATTGTTTTTTTTTTTTTTTTTCAATCTTTTCTTTCCGCTTTAAACATGCGATGCATAGGAAATTGAAACAGCTCACAATTTTTACACATGTATGGAGTATGGACATACAAAGGAAATCAAAATGAACAAAGCACACCAACAACGATCACTCATGTCTGCAAAGCATGGTCCTGAACTCAATGATCACCAGCCACTCTCTCCTCCTTTTCCTTCTCTTCCTCTGTCTTGGAGTGATAACCAGGAAGCTTCTCTTTGATCTTCTCAAGTATGCCCTTCTTCTCCTTGGCTTCCCCTTCCGGAGCCACGTCAGCGTCAGTGACCGGGTGCTCCGCTGAAGCCGACGGTGGTGGAGAAGTGACCTCCTCTGTCTTCTTGTGCTGGCCTGGCAGCTTCTCCTTGATCTTGTCGAGGAAGCCTTTCTTCTCCTCAGGGTGGGATGGATCCACCTCCACTTTCTCAACCGGAACCGCTGTGTCCTCGTGCTTTTCTTCTTCCTTGTGATCACCTCCTATCTTTTCCCCCATCTTCCCTTTCAGTCCTTTCTTTTCCTTCTTCTTCTTCTTCTCCTCCCCGCCTTCCCCCTCCTCATCGCTCGACTGCAATATATATCGTCAAGCACAACAGAATTAAGCTTCCCAGAATCCATGACCAAGACGTGTAAACAGTACTTTAGACTTTTAATCCACTGTGAAAGACAAAAATAACCGGGATACTTACAGAGCCAGAGCTGCTGTCGGATCGGTGAAGGTCTTCCAAGAGGGTGTGCTTCTTCTCTGATCCCTCCTCTTCTTTCTTCTCCTCCGCCTTACTCTCGTGTTTATCAGAAACCTTCACCTTCTCGAACTCGGTGGCGACTGCCTCCTCCTGAGCCTTCTCTTCTTCTTTTTTCTTCCCAGTGACATCAAAAACGCCGCGGTCCTTGATCTCTGTCTCGGTGGCCTCCTGCTCATGGATCTTGCTCTGGTTCTTCTCCGCCATATTCACAATTGACAAGTGATTAACTTGCACAGAGGAAGCTGATCAAATCAAAGATATGGATGAATAAGAAAGCAGACGGATCAATAGGTAGCCGTGAGGATACAGTGTACTTTGGAAGTGTGCGCTGAACTGAGGAAGCGATACGTGAGCGCACGAGCCTTTATAGGGTGGAGGACGCGCATCCCCCGCGATCAATTAATCATACTAAATTATTGGTTAAAGTAGTAGATCTAATATTTTTTATAATATTTTTTAATTTCACTCAGTAACCTCTTATGTATGGTTTAGGATGATAAGTAGATTGTAAAAAAAAGTGATTCAACTACGTTATAAATAAAAGTAAAATGAGATAGAACTAAGAAATAATATTAAAATGCTCATGTTGCTTTTATCATAATTTTAAATTTAATATTATAACCAATGGATCCTTGACTATGAGTGTGAATGATGGCAATTACGCTACCTCCGGTTTTTGTTTAATTTTTAATTTTCTCTTATATATAAAATCTTAATTTACTTTTTTATATTTATTTAATTTTTTAAGATAGTCTTTATAATAGTATCATTTTAAAAAAGACAACATCTATTTGTTATAAATAATTAATTTAATTAATTTTTTAATATATTTAGATTAACTAATTAGCTTCATCAGAAAAACCAGTAAAAGCCAAACAAAATACTGTTTGCAAGGCCGACGTGGGCAATAAGTTCGTAGGAGAAACGGAAGTGTGACCTTACACGACGAAAACCGTACGCGCCAGCTCTGAAAGACACCTGGGAATGCAGGTCCAACATGTGGTTAGAGAGGAAACATATGCTCATCCGATTCTATTTACAAGTTATTTTTAATATATTTTATATAGATTAAAAAAATTTTAAAATTAATTAATTCTCATTTAAAATTTAATAAATTTTTAATTTTATCCCTATTTAATACTCTTCCGGTTTTTAATATAAGACACATTTAATTAATTTGATTATATTAAGGAAGTTAGGTAAGTTAGCTAATTACAAGAAAAATGACACATTTTTCCTAAAACACCATAATCATCTGTCTTAATACCCCATCTCCTTCTTCTACTTGATTATGGTTGAGAGAGTATCTATAGGGGTAATTTAGAGAAAATTGATAAATATGAGAAATGAGTCTTATATTTAGGACCAAAATAAACTCAAGAATTGGGTCTTATATTAAGGACCGGAGGAGTACTATCTCTGGTCCTATTTATAAGAACTAGTTGACTGATTTGAGAAAATTAAAAAAGGAAGTTAAATTATTTATTTGTAATAAATATGTATTGTCTTTCTTAAAATATCATTACTAATCAAGTGTATTGGCCAGAACTATTATTGTTAGAAGGACTATTTTGAGAAAAAATATATAAATATGAAAGATAAAGTAGATTGGGGTCTTATATTTATGATCAAAATAAAAATCAAACAAGGTCTTATATTAAAGACCAGTGATAATATATATTATACTTCATGTAAACGAAATTAGCACAATAATAAATTAAGAGTAAAACTATATTTATATAAAAAAAATTCTCTCAGTATCCTATAAATAACATTAAAATTTTTTTTCTTCATTTTATAAATAAAACTAAACGAGTACGTGATGATGCCTTCGAGGATGGAAGGTAGTGGGGGAAAAGCGAGGGCCAAGAGGTGGGAGCGGAAATAAAAGATGTCGGGCCAATGAAAGAGAGGACACGTGTAGAAAGAATGAGTGGTAGGCTTTAATGTGGGACCCGAAATGTCGGTGTCGAATGAATAAATAGGCCGTCTGGGAGAAGGAAGTGGGCTTTTCCAGAGTGTTGCTGGTCGGTGAGTGATCCTGTCTCAGGCCCCCACCCTCTTTCTTGAGGCAGGTGCCACTCCATTTTTTAAAGTCCATACCTTGCTCTTTGACAAGTGGTCGGCTTGGCTGGTTTTTCCCCGGCTTCAAAAATTATTTTAGTTCTTTTAATTCAATCTTTTCAAAGACTGCATTTTTTTCCTTAATATTTAATTAAAAAACAAACAGTCATTGATTTTAACACCCTTTGACCTTTATTGTACCCAAGTTTTTTGTCGACCAAAGTGTGTCGAAGGTAATTTTTGAAGCTCACATTCTGTCGTTGCCTCTATCCCTTAATTCAACTTTAATAGCTTTCAACTGAATTAGAATCAACCTAATCATTTTTATCAGTCTTGAAAACAAATACTAAATTGTTGCAGGGACAATAATCTACTTAAATAAATGGCTAATCATGATGCTCGTTGTCTCGGCTATTTATATCGATATATTGACGACTCAATATTTACTCATGTGATGTCATTTGTTTTTACAGGAGATAATATTGTCTTATATTATCCATACTTATTTGTTTTTAAAGCGCCACAGATTATAAAAAGCATGACATAGCCCATAAATAAGATAATACCCATCCGGTTCTAACTATAAGATCCATTATAAAATAAAAATATTACAAATAAGTCTTATATTTAGGACCAGAGAAGTAATATATTAAATATAAAAAATTTTGAATTTTTAAAGCAAACTGATTATATCACAGTAAAAATGCGATGCGACAACTAGACACTCGCTTATCAAAATTTAAAATTGTACGAGTTAATGTGATATGTATTGTATTATAGGTAACAGCCAGACTGATCACACATTGACTCGTCGACATCTCCTTGTCAGTCGAAAAATTCTTATTTATGAGGACCCTAATGACATTCTCTCTGGACTGTGAGCCCAAAAAGGGAAAAGCGGTACAGTGCAAAACTGTGTTTTATAACTCAAAAGAAAAGGACTTTGGGCTGCTCTATTTTCTTGCCATATTTGGGTTGGGCTGGCTGATCCAAAGATGTATATTTATGAATCGAACACCTTCGGGTTCTGATGATGTTTTAAAGGGCCTGGACTTATGGGCTGGGTTCATTATTGGGTTATGTTGGGGAAACATACAGATCCATAATAAAGGAAAGGGATGATGGATTATGGAATTTTGAACGAATTGAAATTTGAAAGGGGAACGAAACTTAATTACGGGGAGGAAACGATCAGCGAAGAAATAGAGCCGAGACGAAGCGAGCGCTGGTTGATCCCTCCCCCAGTCATCTGATAAAATTTCGTCGTCCAGTTTTCAGGTTCTCCAAATCGACGTTTCCTGCAGATAAAGTGAATAAGAGGGTTTCCGCCTTGAGACAGAGGACGAGAGAGGGAGAGAGGCCACGATGATAACGCGATCGAATCTGGCCGAACAGCTGCGGGAGTATCAGATTCGATCCAAACACGACTGGGCTTCTATCTCCTTTTTGTCCTCTACCTCTTCTAATGTTACGACCTCGAGGTGCGTCTAGCATTTAACTCGAGTCATGTTAAATTCTATCTCGTTTCTTTTTAATCTTTATTCAAAAGCTTTCTTCCCCATTCATTTCTTTTACTCTTTTATCCAGTTATTTTCTTTAGTCTTGGTATAATTGGGCCTAGCTTTTTTGTTTCACCTGTTATTTGTTCGTTCACATGGGCAGTTATATGATTTAGAATTATGATTGAAATTGTCATTTACCTTTTCAACCTCAAATTCGGCTAAGTCGGCAGTGTTCTGGTCTGTTTTGGATCTCTTGTTCGAACATTCGATTTAGTCGTTCTTCTTTCGCAAATCAATTCATTTCGGCTTGGTTGTCTGAATTGGGATTCAGATTATTCGCAGGTATGCGCCTGGGTAATAATAATAACGCAAAAAATCTTTCGTCGTTTCTCTAAAAATTCGTGAGACCATGCCCTGGTATGCAGAACGTGGCCATTTTTTAGCTCATGTCTTTTGCCCTGTTATTAAGCGGAACAGTGGAAGCAACATTTTGATTAGAGTATCATGAGACCATGCCTCGTCAGGTTCTGCTTCTGAACATCTCAGATCATGGTTGCCATCCCCTGGCTATCAAATTTTTCTTGAAAATAAGGTAGAATGTTTAGATCAGGTTGCACATTAGGTATCAAATTCAGACTGATCTCTTACGGAAAGAAAGCAAGGTCTTGATTTTTTTAACCATAAGAAACAAGGTTTTGATTGATAATTTGATATTTGATAATCCTTTACAGTGCATTTCTGGTTCATCCATCAAATGATGGCCAAAATGATTAAGCTGTGTGGTAATAAAAAGACGTGGGGTTGCTTTTGGCAGTTATTAGATTCGAAGTTTCTTAAGATAAGGTCAAGTGTCAACAATAGTTGTTGGATTGTAAATTTTTGGTGAATATTGAAGTGTCATCTGACTTGATCTGGAAGGGATACATACTAGATGACTTATCTGGAGTTGAGTTCTTACCTAGCTTAGTTGGTTACTTCTGAAGCCCTTACTATTTTATAACACGAATGCCAGCTTTGAGTTGACAACTTAGATGATCTCTCATTGACTTTGATTCGGATTTCAGCGGTCCTGTTGCTTTTGAAGAAGGCAATTGTTTTTACTATAAGGGCACTGGATTGCATTTTCCCCCCACGCTAATAACTCATAATACTTGGATTCATGGGGCGTATATCTACTGTCTGTGTAGTAGATTTCCGATCTGATGGAATTACGTGCCATTATCGTTGAACGTTCAGTAAGCTTGAAAAGTTACAGCCATTTTACCAATACCTTTACCGAATCTGGGATGCGGAGGGTAAATAAATGCTGACTGACCAGTTATAGTGCCGCCTCGTCCATTGTTCCCCATGCAGAAGATGGATATTCCTAATTGTTTTCACCAATGACTCTTTTGGGCGACTAATCATGATAGAGCGGAAAGTTGCATCTTGGTTTAAACGGAGATGGACGATCGTCTTTGCTTAGCTTTAGCAACCATAATTTGTGCACACTGACATGTTCTGTTTTTCGCTTTCAAATGTTTTATTTTTTGACTTCTGTGATGAGTTTTTTTTGGTTGGGTTAATACCTGTTTGCATGTCGAAGCTTTTAGAACAATCGGTGATTAAAAATATTAATGCCTTTTGCTTATTTATTCTCTTGGTGCAGGGTGGATGTTGTTGTCTTTGTGATATGGGAACTTGTCATTCTGGCTTTCCTGGTTTTTTCAGCAGTCTCTTTGTACTTTAGGCACATCCGGCTTGCTTTTATATTAGTCTGCGTCACAGTGCTGTTGATACTGTG